AAAAATGTCTTAAATAAAATGGAAAAATGATTTCGAACCTGGAAATCTATCGTAATTCATCAATGAAGTTTAAAGTTGGAATAAAATATTTTAAGTAAACAAACATTTTAAAAAAGTTTATAACCCCCAAACCCATTCTAAGCTCATAAAGAATGTGCATCACCAAGTGAAGTTATAAACCAAGAAAAGGAATATATGAAATCCAGGGACTATGAGATAGGACACAAGAAAACAGCAGAGGGAATTCCCAGGTGGTGATTAAAGGAAAAGGAGTCCCTGGAGTAATGCTGAGCAGCAAACACAGGAAGCATGAGCCCAGATTACAACAGGAAGATGGAGGGCTTCAGGACGGGTTTCTTTATAAAGGATGGAACTGATAAATGGTTTAATTTGTTTGGCCACACTGAAAGGATGTTTACAACCATCACAATGATTGAAAGAAGAATCAATCATGGGTACACAGAAAACTAAGCAAATAGGAAAAAATAATAATTCTGAGCAATTATCTTTAGAAAAAAATTGTACAAAAGGTAATAAAATCATTGTGTATTATATGTCTCCATGCTAATAAAATTACCTATAATAGTATAAATATGTAATACTGATTTAACTAAAACTTATGTTTGGAGCGTAGGTAGAAAAGGGCAGCTATATAAGACATACATTTTTATCTTCCATGATACAAAGTGAACAGATAAAAAGGAAAATAACGGGAGTGCCTGGCTGGCTCAGTTGGTAGAGAGTCCAACACTTGATCTCAGGGTTGTGAGTCTGAGCCCCACACTGGGTATGGAGCCTACCTAAAATAAAAATTTAAATAAATAAATAAATAAATAAATAAATAGGAAAGAAAAGACTCTGAGAAATAGCAGTGTAAGCCTTTTATTTAAAAACACAGTTGTGAATGGTGACAGAACAGGAATCAAGATCTGGTAGTGCTGGTCTCTGAGGGGTGGTACTAAGGAGCTGGTGTGCAGCAGAGCTAGCTCTTTGTTGTTGTAAGTATGGAATATTATTTGACTTTTAAAAATACATTCATAGGTTTCCACTTCTGGGAAGTGGAGTTACTGATCTTCATTCCTCTCATTAAGTACAACTAAAAATCCTGGACATTATCTATAAATCAAACCTAAGAAGACTGACAGGCAGACCAGCTATGGACCTGAAGACAAAGGAAGGACAAAGTGGAAAGTTCCCTAGTTTTCCTTTTGCCTCATATATCCCAGATTTGGAGCTAAAAAAGCCAACAACCTAGAAATGCCAATGGGCATGGACAGAACAAAAATAACAACATAAGCCAAAGGAAAGAAAAGAGGCAGCCTAGCAAGATGGAAAGCTTTCAGAGATAACAGCCAAACACCACAGAAAAAAACTGTGCCCCCCACCCCGCCCCCTACATGAGCAAAGGCCAAGGGGGAGCCCGGATGTCCACCCTCACCAGGCTATAATGAGATGCCCCCAACCCATTGCTAGGCACCATGTTGAGCCCTAAGGATCTAAACTGAGTAACGCATGGCATATGGCCACAAATACGGATTCTAGTGAAGGAGAAAAACAAGTCAGTAGCTACTGTACGGTGATATGTGCACTGTGGTGAATTTATATGAGGGATATTTAATCAGCAAAAGGAAAAGATGATTACAGAAGCAGGGTGGGAGGGAAGGCTTCTTTGAGGAACTAATCCTAGAGCTCAATTTGTAAGGATAGGTAGAACTAGCCAGATGGAAGAAGGGTGTCCTGGGCTAAGGGCCTGACAGGTACTAGGAAGAGAATAGAACGTACTTGAAACTACAAATAATTCTGTCTGGAGTGAAGAGTGGTTAGGAGGGAATACAGAAAGACGATGTTGAACAGGCTGGACAGGAGCCAGGCAGAGAAGGGCCTTGTGGGCATGCCTGCTTCCCTCCTTCCCTCCCTTCCTCCCTCCCCCTCCCCTGTTCTTTCTTCTTCTTCTCTCTCTCTCTCTCTTTCTTTCTTAATTCTAGTGTAGCTGACAGTGTCACATTAGTTTCAGGTGTACAATACAGTGATTTAACAATTCCATACATTGCTCAATGCCCATCAAGAGAATGTATGCTTTTTTATAAGTCCATGAGGAGCCCCTAAAGGATCTTTGATATTTTTTTAAGGGTGATTTTTTTAAAAAAAGATAATTTCCCATTTTGTGCTATCTTTGTCATTTTTTAAGGATCACTCTGACAATGGTGAGGAGGATGGGTTAGAGGAGGATCAGATGAGTCAGGAATCTGAAAGGAAGTTACTGCAGGAATCCAGACAAGAAGGGATGAACACATAGACCACAGCAGGGGGGGATTATACAAGCAATATCTGCATATATCCTAGGATCTGGGTCAGTTTTACCAAATTTGAGGTTTTTGAGAGAAAATGAAGAGAGAAAGCAGTGCCACATTCAACTCTAATACTAGGTACTAGTGTTCCTAGTGCTAACTAGCTTGGTGGCCTGGGGCAAATCTCTCTGAGCCTCATTTTTCGTATCTAACAAATGGCATGGTTGCCATTTGTTAGAGTTGTTGTATAAATATGTAATGCCATAACGGATGTGAAAAC